CCGCAGGATCGCCGGCATGCTGCTGCATCTGCAGTCCCAATTGGTGGACTAAATATAGACCAATAGCCTGCACAACATGTAAAATATAAATTACAGAACGCTATATCACAGTTATAATTAAGAATACCAAATAACATACCAGTGCCTCGTGCCTCCCGGCATATAGAACGTACCAACCGCCAGCTCAATGGTTGGGGTTCCCGACGATAAGTCGGGTAACGCCGCGGTACCAGGGAATATATTCATGCTCAGTACCCTCCCGACTCGGTGAAGGAGGCGGAATCAGGCCAGCTCGCCGATCCCATGTATCGATCTGCTCCTCTATCCATGCCAAAAATACGTCGTCCACACTGGTCCGATTATCTCGCTGGTAATGTGTGGTCTCCCAGGTGGGCGGTGTCGGTACGAGCTGCGGCCTGCCAAACTGGCAAAGTACCCGCTCAGTGGCATGATGCTCCACAATATCAAGGTAGAACAACGGGACAGAAGCGCCTCGCATAAGTCGGCCGGCCGAGCAATAATCCGGCAAGCCAGCTATCATCGCGTCGATGTATGGCATCCAGATGAACTATTAAGGAAGAACAGAAAACGTCAGTATACGCAACTTGTGTTTGAAGAAATGACAACTAAACTTAGATATACATTTACCTGTGCGCCATCCAGCAAATCCAATATATCTCTGCACAAGGAGAGATTATGATGAGCCTTGTTCTCGCGCGTATGTCCCCGTCGGAGTACCCACCTCCTAGCTAGAGGGAGCAACTCCGGTGGTACAACCGGAACTAATGGTGGTAGAGGTGGCTGGAACTGCAGAAACCTCTCCCAGGCCCAAACCTAACATAAAATCTTGATGTCAAATTTAAGATATATTTTTACTAGGTATGTTAAAATGAATAGAGTATTCGGATATGTTGTCACCTGTAGTAGCGGCAAGAATCCAGCAACCTCACACTGGGTGCCCATGCTCGCCCGGCACATGAATCTGTACAAGTAGGTGAGAACAGCAGAGCCCCAGCTGTACTGGGGTAAATCATCTAGTCGCTCAAGATTAAGAAATCTCAAGCTGGCTAGGTTTCCCGAAGTGTTCGGGAACAAGACCCCTCCAAACAACAGCAGTAGCAGCAACCTCGTATACCGGTCAACATGATAATCCGGTGTATCGCCATCGATCTGAGGATGCAATGCCTCCTACCACAGTCGAATAGTCGTCAACGGAAAACGACTGGCCCCGTGCAGTACGGTCTCATCCTTTGGCCGGAAAGCAGTGAGCCATTGCAGCGTGTCCAGGTACTGCACATGTGTCATCTCTCTCATGCCAGGCGATAGTAAAATGGCCAGTCCATCAACGGGCAGCCCATACAAAACCTCCACGTCCTGTAGTGTGACGGTGGCCTCGCCAATGGGCAGGTGGGAAGTGTGCGTCTCCGGCCTCCACCGCTCTATCAGGGCCGTGATCAAGGACCAATCGAGCTGCAGCTGCCCGATCTCAATCATCCTGTAGAAACCAGTGTCCCGCATGCGCGCGACTACACGGGCATGGACAACTCTGTCATGCAGGAAGTCCCACATGTCGTCCACTCTCCTGGCGCCGAGAGTCTGGGTCAGTAACTCACCCTCCCATATGTGGGCTGGCCTATGGTCGCCCTGTAACAAGAGCAGCTCATCGCTAAAAGGTCCGGGATGAATAGACGATTCCTCCATGTCGTCTACTGTAAATTAAACAACATTAATTACATGTTAGTTTTATAATTTTATATTTTTGTTTTTGGATTAAATAATTAAATATTGACATATAGGTTCGAGGCTCCATATTTGGAGCCTAGTAGCACCAATTCTTCGATGTGTTAGTTTTATTATAATTTTATATGTTTGTTTTTGGATTAAATAATTAAATATCGACATATGTGTTCCAGGCTCCATATTTGGAGCCCAGTAGCACCAATTCTTCGATGTGTTAGTTTTATTATAAGTTTATATATCTGTTATTGGATGAAATAATTAAAATTTTATAATTAAATATTGACATATGGGTTCCAGGCTCCATATTTGGAGTCCAGTAGCACCAATTCTTCGATGTGTTAGCTTTATTATAATTTTATATATTTTTTATAAATTAAATAATTAATTTTTATAATTAAATATTGACATATGGGTTCCAGGCTCGATATTTGCGGCCCAGTAGCACCAATTCTTCGATGTGTTAGTTTTATTATAATTTTATATGTTAGTTTGTAAATTAAATAATTAATTTTTACAATTAAATATTCACATATGGGTTCCAGGCTCGATATTTGCGGCCCAGTAGCACCAATTCTTCGATGTGTTAGTTTTATTATAATTTTATATGTTAGTTTGTAAATTAAATAATTAATTTTTATACTTAAATATTCACATATGGGTTCCAGGCTCCATATTTGGATACCAGTACACCAATTTATCCTGAATTCTTGTATCTGTTAGTTTTATTATAATTTTATATGTTAGTTTGCAAATTAAATAATTAATTTTTATAATTAAATATTCACATATGGGTTCCAGGCTCGATATTTGCGGCTCAGTAGCACCAATTTATCCTGAATTCTTCTATTTGTTAGTTTTATTATTTTACGTGTTAGTTTTATATTTTTATATGTTTGTTTGTAAATTAAATAATTAATTTTTAAAATTATATCATATTTACTTATTAAATATTCATATATATGGGTTCCATGCTTGATATTTGCGGCCAAGTGGCACCAAATATATGTTGACTATAATTGGACGGAGTTTGTGTTTGATCTATCAGTTATTTGACGTATTTTGGGGTATAAGAGATACTTAAACTACAGGGAAACTATGCTAAAAGGCAATACATTTTACTACGCTAAAATGCACTACATTATACTACGGTAAAAGGCACTACGTTATACTACGCTAAAAGGCATTATATTTTACTACCCTAAAAGGCATTCCGATTTACTAGTGTTTAAGCAAAAAAATAATTTAAACTAGATAAAACACAATAAATACATTTTAATCACAAAAATATATATAAAACATTAATAGTAATTTATTAACATTTTTATTAACAAATAATAACAATTTCACAATTCTTACATTTTTTTTACAACATCAATATCTTAATCCGGATAAAAATAACATACCGATTTAATCGTTAAAAAAAACACAAAACAATATACAACACATTCATAACAACTAATATGCATTATTTATACGAGTTTGTACATAAACTAAATCGGAATACCTCGATTTATGTTTTTCGGAAAGTTGAAGATTTGAAAATTTGACTCCGAAACAAGCAACCCACAACAATATAAGGCTTGGCTAGGATGTGGGACCAACAATATCTACTTTTTAAGGGACGGGTGGGGTCCACAAGAGCTCTTTTTGTTGTTAACGGAGGGGGGACAATTTTTTTTTTTTTAAAAAATGAAGAAGAAGATTGGGTAGAACGTGGGGGAAAGGGAAGGGACTTTGATATTTATCTATATAAAACGCGGTTTATTACCGCGTGTTATGTAAAATGTTGTAATGAACCGTGTTTTATATACCAGTCTTTTCAGCTCCCCTTAAATTGCGGTTTATTACCGCGTTTTACCTTAACGGTCCAAACGGCCGTTAAAGTAACCGCGTTTTACATAGAAATGTAATTTTTTTTATTTTTTTTTACACTTAAAAACGTATTTTGAGTCAAAAAGAACCACATTTAGGATCCGGACTCATTAAATAACCATAGCTAAGTTATGAAAGTTCGTGTAAATGACACATGTCATGCCATTTTTTGTTTTTTTAGTATAGACATGGGTGGGCGCAGCGCAGGTAGGAGCTTTAAATATTCTGATGATGGAGGACATGCTTTATGATGCAGTAGAGTGAAAATCAGGTTCTGATTTATCCAATATCAGAGTTTGCACCCAAAAAGAAAGTAATAAAGAACAAGGACTTTTAAAGTTTGTCAACCAAGTGAACATGCAGGGAATTAGCCAATAGAGACAGCATGGCCTTTGTTCTTTATCATCCAGACTCTCCAATTGATTAGGACAATTGGTTTATTTTCGGGCAAAATGCACAAATAGCCGCTTTTATTCTTTTAAGACCGGTATTTCCATCATAGTTGGAATTTAAAAAGTATTTATAATTTATCAGAATTTAAAAAGTATTTAGAATTTATTAGACGAAGGGGAGCCTTGGAGCAACGATAAAATGTGTAGCTAATAGGGTCACAGGTCTGGGCTGTGCAATCAACCATTGATGCTTGTATCTGGGCAGGCTGCCTACATCAAACCACTTAGTGTCCCTTCCCGGGCCCTGCGTGAATTCGGGATTCTTCATGAACCGGGCTACCCTTTTTATTTGAAGTTTATCAGACACTCAGGTCTGAAGTTTAAACTGCTAAAATCAAATGAGGTTTGAAGTTTGAAAACTTCAGACATTCCGGCGCAAGTTAGGCTCTGACGGTTCAAAATTCCAAACCAAACATCTGAAGAAGAAGCAGTGCTAATGAAAAGCAGTCTGAAGTTTGCTTCATCTTATTAAAATTTAAATACATCATAAAAAGTTGATTATAGTTTAATTATTATTAATGTATCTAAAAACAGCAAACTAGAGCTATTTCTACTTTATTTCAACTCAGCCCAATTTAGTAAAACCTTTTTGTGCAAACATTGTAAAATGTATTTGGTCTGGTCCAAAGTGAGTGTATGAGAATGTACTCCTTTTTGTTATTTATCAATTCTCCCCATAGAGTGTAAATTGCCCCCTCCGTGATAGCAAAGTTGTAATGTTCTGAGAACAATCCGGTGCACAAGGCATCCCGCGTCACGTAAGGTACAGGGAAGGGCCGCACCACAAGGGATATGATGTACACAATCTAATCTAATGCAAGCGTTAGTGGCTACTTCCACGGCTCGAACCCGTGACCCCTATAAGTCAGACGAAAACAACTTCGTTGCTCCAAGGCTTCCCTTCTAAAGTTGTAATGTTCTATGGACAAAACATGATCAATAATTTTCCTGCAGCTTATCCTTTGCTCGGTTATAATTAAACACGCGCTTGCCCTGAGCAACAAGTCTCTATTGGGAGCTGTATTCCCAAACATGCTGATTAATCACATTTTCTTACATTCTAACAAATACAATTATACAAATAAAGCTGCGATATTACAGCTACTCATGCTCACTCTGATCCAGGCTCTGTCGAGCTCCATATACAAACCTCTAAATCTAGCTGCCCAGATGAGCCCAGATGAGCAAAAGGGATCAGAAGGAAATCCATTGGAGGTAAACCTTCAATCCTACCTGGAAGACTACGAGCGAATGATTTCAATCTCAGAGAGCTACTTCCTCTTTCTGATAAAACATCATACAAGAAGCATTCCTTTGATGAACTTGGACCAATACAAGTAATCACAATCGTATGCCCTATACTTTGTGTTCCCTTGGTAAGAAGAAAGAGGATTCCATCTTTTGCTGCTTGTAAAACAAGGAAAGTTTCTTTCTTGCTCAACGAGACACGCAATGGGCAATCATACTTGAAGCGTCTCCCAGAATCCCAGTGCTTACTGGTGAAATGTATTGAGAGTAGATTGGGGGAATCAACAACATTACAATTCTGGAGAGGGCACGGGCATGGTGCATAGAGGCAGGCCTCCTCATGATCTCTTTTATTTGTGTAGTCAACAGTTTCTGTGCATCCATAGTTCATGTTTCCACAAGGTACTGGGCCTGAATCAGCAACTACATTAACCTCCGCACAGACGTCATTCCGTTGGATGCTATATGTGTGCGCATGTTCCTGAAGAAGATCGGCAAATCCATTTTGATCAAAAATGTCAAGAGAATATTTCAAATAACTTATACATGCAAACTGATTTTAATGTGTGTGTATGTGTGTGTGTGTGTGTGAGAGAGAGAGAGAGAGAGAGAGAGATGACTGTGAAAGCCTCTTAGGCTCAGAGATCCTCAAAAGTAAATTTACCCTAACTCGTTACCAAGTTCCAGAAATATAAGCATATAAAAACATAACACCACCATTCATTATCAGGGCTATGAAGAAAAAAGAAATTGATAAACCGAGAAATCCCAGCCAATGGAACACGATACGAAACAAGGTGGATGATGGAACAACCCTCTACCCTACTCCACTTGCATTCCATGATTTTGTCGTCCCTCAGGGATTTCTCGGTGGATCCCCTTTATCCTTCCCCACTTAAATTGCAGGCATTTGTCTTCAGCAAAGTTCAAACTCGTGACGTGCGTCTAACCCACACATCATGTGTTGAGCTTTTACCACTAGATCAAAGCCCTGGGGGCTGAAAACTGTATATGTCTAGATCTATAAAGGCTGTGAAATTTGAAACATGATATTACAACATTGAAATTCTTATCGACAAAGATAATACAACGTCAAACCATCTTAATCTAACCACGAATATAGTAGCAGAAAAGATAACTTTTGCACTTCCACATAGACATCAATAAAAGCATTCTGGAAATATACCACGTACAGCAGCAATTAGTTTATTGCTGCCAAGATGAAATCCACGTGTATGTGGGTATAGCATAATTATTTATTGGTTTTGGATCTCCTATTCATCATTACTCTCATTAGTCCTTCAATCTTTGCTTTAAGCAAGACACCAACTAAATATCTAACGACAACTCATTATCATCTAAGTTGCTCGGACACGGGTGCGGGTGTCCGACACGGGTGCAGATCTAGAGCTCAAATCCTTCAAAATGTAAATTCTAAGATGCTGAGATACAGATCCTAGTACGGATACAGGTGCGGGGATCCGGCAAAAAGTAATTCAAAAAAAATAAATATATAAAAATATCTCTAAATTATGAGAAATTTTGTGGAATGCTTACGTATAACTTGTAAAGTGTAGATTTCTTTTTTATTCTCAAGTTGAAGATATGTAAATGATTGATTTCCTAGATAAGGTATGTTTTTCTCTCCAAATTTACCCTAGTTTTGATTCTGATTTCAGGAATCAAATTGTATCTCGTCTCGAATTTTTTCGTTTTCATGGTCAAAGTACCCAAAATTGTTTGACCGGATCCGGTATAGATCCCATACCCACACCAATACTAGTGTTGTGTCAACACGGTGCAACACCTAAACTGTCGTGCCGGAGCAACTTAGATTATCATTGCCTCGGGGTTATCGAAATAAGTCCTGTGCCAATACGATAATAGTAAACATGCTCATTCTTGGTCTCTGTTTAGACTTTAGAGTAAAATGTTTTAATTAGTAGGTTTCATAAAAAAATGTTTTAATTAGTAGAAACAAGAATTAGATGGCAGATCACCTGTTCTATGAAGGTATCCTCATCTTCTTGATCTTCCATGTCCTGCCAAGTAGATAAAAAAATATTAGGGTAGAAAGAAGCCACATCATGGCAACCTGTGAGGCCCAAGGTATACCCGCCTCCCTTCATCAAAATAAGGAAGAAAGGAAAAAACTTTTGTGGGAACGCTGATGTAAGCATAAACCTTGCATTCTTTTGATAACCTTCTCTTTGTCTACCAGCTTTACGTTGATCTTATTTCTTAACGTACTTTCTTTTCTCCTGTCATAGATTTTCCGCAGATTTATTAATTTGATTGTTTAATTGTTAAGAAGATGAGAGACTTAGTATTTAGCTGTTATTTCGATTGATAAACTGTATGTGAATAGGCCAACAGTCATTGAGAAATAAGGCTGCCAACCCTAGGCAGCTATCAGCCCAACTAGAGATTTCAAACAAATCTAAGCATCATACTTAGTCAAAACTAAAGGCAGGGAATACAAGATGTTACTTATGAAGTTCCTATATATGCAAGCTACCATATAATTGAATCTATCAGGACACAAGAGCTCATACCAGGAATTTCCCAGGACTTAAGACTATAAGCCTAACTGGATACTTAAACAAGAGAACAACAAATTACTCAACCATATCCCCTCCTATACGGCTATACCTGTGCATGAGAAAGCTCTTGTACTTGTTCCACTGCTCTCAATGGCATACAATCAGTTTGGGCTTTGTATCCAAATGACCCCATCCCAAGTCCTCTCTCCTTGCAGACTACCTGCATGAGAGAATAAAGTGGAATAATACGAGAACGTGTTTGTTTAAGAAATCAGACAATTGGAATGTACCTCCCCCGAGCCATAACCACCAAGTTCCTTCTCTTGCTTTTCTCTCTCACTAATCTCCTCCTCACCCCACGAGAATAAGCAAGGAAAAGCTACAGGGGCCGATTCATACGCTGCTCCAACAGCAACACTCTCATAGTAAAATAGCTGAAAACAAACGAAACAGTCAGTTAACCACTAAATAAATCAGATATAGGCATCTCACGTCGTTCACAATTACCTGGAGGAACAAAAGACAGCCCCCAACTGCCCGTTGCTTCCCTTGACGAAAGCGAGATATCTCCCGTACTAGCCGGTCAAGCAAGAACTTGCCCCAATTATACTGATGGAGTACATCCATATTTGTCAAAAAGTGGAGGAAAGAGGGGCTTACGTCCAGCCTTGCAGTTGGGCACACAAGAGTGCCCATTACATAAAGCACAAATGACCTTTTGAAATCCTCCCCAGCTTCTGGAGCTGCAAGTCGTTCCTCCAGAAGACGGACAGAAATCCCACGATTGGTCGCATTGTATTTCTTACGCAATTCAAGAATTAATTCGTCAGACCCTGAGTTCACCACATCTTTCCCACTAGCAGGCAAGCCCATTACAAGTTCCACATCCCTTGGAGTTAAAGGTATCCTCTCACCACAGATTTCCAAGCTGCGTCTTACAGTATTGAACCTTTCCAATAGCCAAAGACACAAGCTTCTTCGAAGAGTTCGACATCTGAGGCCAAGGATGCTACCAAAGCCCATGCTCTTTACGGCCTCCTTCTGGTCCGGTGTGAGCCGTTGCAAGACATTTAGCAAGCGGCCAGGGGAGCACCTCGTAACTAGTTTGGTCTGCATGAGTAAGCCATCAGCATAAGTTAAACATAAAGAAGTCAACAACAATATCCAACGCTCTTTGCATTACCAGTTCCCTCATCAAAGAAAGAAAAGCCTGGAA